TTGATACTAGTGAGCAGTACAAAGGGGGCAGGGTGGTCTGAAGGCTTTGGATGCCCTTTGAAAGGATTTCTCAGGCGCTGAAGCCCTGATCTTATCCACCTGAGGTCTTCTCAAGGCTTTGTTGTAACCCAGACTGGAGGAACTCACTGTCCTGCACATTCCATGCACTCACCTTCTTCGTTGCAGTCATTCGTTTCTTCTAACAATGGAAGAGGAAGAAAAAGAAGGAGGAAGAGGGGGGAAGAGAGCAGGAAAAATGAAGATGGTGATGATGATAAGGAGATGAAGAACAAGAAGCAGGACAGGGAGAACAAGAACAAAAATAGTAGGAGGAGGGAGAGGAAGTGCAGGAGGAGGAAGGCAGGAAGAACAAGAAGAAGGGCAAGAAGAACAAGAATAAGAAGATGAAGAAGAAGAAAGAGAGAAAAGGAGAGAGGAAAGGAGGAGAAGGGAAGGGGAGGGAAAGGAGAGGAGGAGGAGAGAAAAGAAGCAAAGAAACCATCAATGATCCATTATGAAATGGATGGCTACCCAACTATAAACAGTGCTTCTAAGTGCCTCATATGAGAAGGGAACACATTGAGTCTCCTTGCTGTCCTGGATACTAGCACTCCCCTCATGGCCTTTACACATGCTGTTCCCCCTGCCTGAAACACCCTTAGCCAAGTTGTACACATGACTGGCTCCCTCATCTCCTTCAAGGCTTTTTGGAAATGTCACTATCCTTGATCACCCTTTAAAAACATTTCAACCTCTCCAATGATGTAGTTCCCTTTCCCTTACCCTATTGTCTTTGTAGGGTTTTCAGCATCCTACAGATTTAACCTACTTCCTTATTTTTTCTTTCTCCTTTCATTAGTTTCACTTGGGCACAGATTTTTTGTCTGTTCTATTTCCTTCTATATCTCCAATGCCTAGAATGGGACTTAGACAAGTTAGCTAATATTTACTAGTGTTTGTTGTTAGATGAATAAAAAATGTTAAACATTTATGATACTAATGATAATGATAGTAACAGAGAGTATAACATTTGATGATATCTAAAGGCTCTTCCAACATTAAAAAAAACAGTAACTTTTTATTTCTGTGTATGTAACCAAAAACAAATAGTGAAGTGAAATAACACAGTTGCCACTTACCATTTAACACTTGCAGGCTCAGCAAACCTATGGAAGACAACATACAAACAATGATGAATGCCCCCGAGACCGACAGATTCAACAAGCTCATCCCAAGCTACCATTCACCTTTTCTCATTGCCTCTCCCTGAAGGCATTCACTCATATTAATTGTAACTATCTGTCTGTCTCCCTCACCAGACTATGAGTTTATGTAGAGGTGGTAAGAGAACATTAGATTCATCTTTCGGGTTTCCACCACCCTCCGTGGTCCTAGCACATACTAAAGCTTAAAGAATATTTTTGCCAGACAAGATTTCCACCAAAAATCCCAGGTTTTAAATAGAGTGAGATAGTCACCTAGAATCTCTGACATCGCCCATCCAGAAGGAAGTGTGGTCCAGGAGGCAAGAGAGGTCCAGTTCACAAAGTCCAGAGTGTTGAGGTGAAGAGACCATGAGAGATGAGACCGTAAGTAAGAGGAAAAACCACAAGGTTAGAAGGTGAGAGATTGGGAGCCAATGAGAACAGAGGCCAGGTGGATGGTAGTGGGCAGTTAGGACTTATGGCAGGGAACTGGATGAGGAGGGACAACCAAAAGCCTCACTGTGTGGGTCAGAGGGGGTCTAATGCTTAGAAGACTTGCACTGAATTGGGGTTAGGTGAGAAGGAAGCCACTGCCCTTCATGTACACACTGTCACTGTGCTGTGGGCACCTACACACTTCAGATGAATAATGCCTACCTCATGTGGAAGTCTGGTGGGGGACACATAACCTTAATACATTAAAGGTGCTGCTTCCAGGGTCTGGCACCTAAGAAACTCTTAGTAACTTTTCATGATGGTCATCATCATCCTCATGAGACCATTGTCCACATCCCTGACTTGAGGAGGGGATTGGTTCTCCTAAGACACTTCCCACCTTTGAAGGGGAAAGTAATGCATTTTTTTCCAATCTCTGGGCTAAAATAAATTTTCTGAGAGAGGATCTATGAGTAGGAATGGACCCTAGAGCAGACATAAGAAAGAGAACCTGCTGCCCTGACTGGTGTGGCTCAGTGCATTGAGTGTCATCCTGCAAAGCGAAAGGTTACCAGTTCAATTCCCGGTGAGGGCACCTGCCTGGGTTGTGGGGCAGGCCCCCAGTAGGGGGCATGCAAGAGGCAACTGATCAATGTTTCTCTCCCTTTCTGTCTCCCTCCCTTCCACTCTCTTTAAAAAGAAAATCTTTAAAATAAATAAATAAATAAAATCTTTTAAAAGAAAGAAAGTGAACATGTCCAAAGGGGGAGGGGCAGGGATGTGGAGCAAGAGTCTTACGTTTCAGTACTGTTGAGATGTGAGCAGCAAGGAGGAGAATATCCAGTAGGAGTCAGTGGCACCACCAGAAACAGGGATGAGAAGAGGACAAAGGTGTTAATGGCTCCTTCCTAGCATGTACCACGCTGCTGGTTCTCAAAAAGGATCCTCGCATATTAGGGAAGAGAGAGGGGTTCCCAGAATTCATGAGATGGGATGGGGCCCAGGGTGTGTGACTTCATATGCTTCTATTAGACTTGTTCCCCTTTGGAGACATATTTATCCAGGTGGTCAGAATCTCAGGTACCCAATTTCCTTGGGGATTCATCCCCCAAAGGTTTGCATGATTATTAACCCAGAGGTTAGGTCCCTATGACCCCCTTTTATCTCATTTTTCTCTTGAGTGGTCAGGAGGGAGAAAATTTGAGGAAGGAATTGCACCTCTTGCATCCTTCTTATTCAGTGGGCATCCCAACAAATACATGCAACTCAATATGTCTCATATTCTGGGGCAGTCGTCCTTGGCTTTCAAGATCCAATAAAGTCTGTAGACTGTATATGCTTCTGTGCTCACCTACCCCATCACACCTGCTGCCTGGAAGCCACCTGCACCCCAAAAACACTCTCCTGAGTCTCAGGACGACACCTTATCAGGGGGTGTGTGGACCTCCACAGCTCCTCCTGAGCCTCATTCAGAGATGGGGACAGTAGACAGAGTCTCCCTTAGCAGAGGGTCTTAAATGGAGAAGAACCCAAAGATCTCTTTCTGCCTCTCATTTACTCTTCTTCCTAGCAACAAAGTTATCCATTAAAAAAAAAAAAAAGAAAAAAAGAAAGACCTGGCTGGCGTAGCTCAGTGGATTGAGCGCGGGCTGCGAACCAAAGTGTTGCAGGTTCAATTCCCAGCCAGGGTACATGCCTGGGTTGCAGGCCATAACCCTCAGCAACCGCACATTGATGTTTCTCTCTCTCTCTCTCCCTCCCTTCCCTCTCTAAAAATAAATAAATAAAATCTTTAAAGAAAGAAAGAAAGAAAGAAAGAAAGAAATAACTCACTTTTCACTGGAGGTTGCAGCAGAGCCAGAAGTCAGGGAGACCACATGGAAAAGAGTGAGCGAGAGAGTAGGGTTAACATGAATGTCCCAAGGACATTCCATTCAGTAGAGAGTCTTAAGATTATTGTTTTTATTGTGTGGTAATGTTAGACTCACAAAATACTGCAAAAATGGCATAGAGGGGTCTTGTGTACCCATTGTCCAGCTTCCCCCTGGTGATGGCATCTTACACAACCATAGCACATTATCAAAACCAGGAAATTGCCCTGACCAGTGGTGCTCAGTGAGTTGGGTGTTGACCCATAAAGGGAAAAGTCACCAGTTCGATTCCCAGTCAGGGCAAATGCCTGGGTTGTGGATTTGGTCCCCCAGTCAGGGTGCATATGAGAGACAACCAACTCATGTTTGCAAACCAACTCGTGTTTGTAACATCAATGTTTCTTTCTTTCTTTCTTTCTTTCTTTCTTTCTTTCTTTCTTTCTTTCTTTCTTTCTTTCTTTCTTTCTTCCTTCCTTCCTTCCTTCCTTCCTTCCTTCCTTCCTTCCTTCCTTTCTTTCTTTCTTTCTTTCTTTCTTTCTTTCTCCCTCCCTTCCCCTCACTCTAAATATAAATAAATAAAATTGTAAATAAAAACCCAGTAAATTGACATTGGCCCAATACTGTTAACTAGACTACCGACCTTACTTACTCAGATTTCACATTTTTTTCCATGCACTCACATTTTTGTACTTTTAAAAATATGTGTCTATCTCTCAGTCATAGGGAAGCTATCTTAAAATAATAAGGACATCATTATCTTGCTTTATAAATGGAAGAAGGGAGATTTATATAGTCATAGGGGTGATTAGTTTAGAAGATCCAGCTAATGATCCCAAACAGTGGTACCATTGAATCACTGCCTCTCCATCTCAAGGGGAGAGTGGGAGCAGGACATGAGACAGAAGACTGGAGATTGAGGGGAACCCTAACTCTAAACTTATTTGTCCATTGCACCCCTATGCTGGAGCTGGCTCACAAAAAATGGTTAAATTTTTACAAATTTTGCAAGACAGCTGTGAAACTATTAGTAGGCTGCGATCAGCCAGAGTTCAAGTATTTACACCACAGAAACTGGCAGTCACTCTATATTGGGGCTCCCTTCCCTACCCTTCCTCCACAGCCTCGTTATTTAGCAAAATCTGTATGCACTGTTTTGCCCCTGACCCCAGGTCAATGTCTAAATGTCATGGCTCTGACCAGGTAGCTCAGTTGGTTGGAGCACCATCCCGATAGCCAATGTTGTGGGTTCAGTGCCAGTCAGGGTACATACAAGACTCAATCAATGGATAGATAAATAAGTGGAACAACAAATTGAAGTCTCTTTCTCTCTCCATCTCCCTTTCCTTCATCTCTAAAATCAATAAATAACAAATAATTTTTTAAAAATGCCAGGGCCCTTCTCCAGAAATTTTAAGGAGTTTCCCCGGCCCCAGTGGGGTTCCAAGAAGGCAATCTCAAAAACAGAAACTTGGGACTTCACAGTACTTACTTTCTTCTTCTGACTTATCTGCAGGTGAGAACACAGGCAGCCAGTTTCCAGTGGGGGTGCAGAGCAGAGAGAGAAATGGCATTAGACAAGGATCCTAGACCCCGCCGAAGAAACACCCGTGACCCATCAGAGGAGAGCAGAGGCAGAAACGCTACCAGAGAAGAGGTAAAGAAGACTCCAACTCTATCACTCAGTCAGCCTTTCTCTCCAACAAATAAACATAAGTGGGCCAGGTCCCTACATTCAGAGAGCATCAGCGAGCTGAGTCTAGTCTGCAGTGCAACCCATGGGAGTCATAAATGGAGTACAGGTGGGATGGTGTTTCTGGGTACACCTGCGAGATACAGTGGGCACCTATATGGGGGCAATGGTTGCTGAGCTTTTGGGGGTGCCAGGGCAGGCTTCTTGGAGAATTTGTTACTGGGTCTGAGACCTGGCAGATGAGTGGGACTTAGCCAGGTGAAGACATTGGGAAGGGGAGAGAAAAAGGTACCTCAGGTGGAGGGAAGAGCATAGGCCTGGTGTTGCTTGGGAAGGCTTTGGTCCTGAGCTTTGGAGGATACAGAGAGACCCTCCATGGGGCACAATGGTAGAAGATTACTATGGCATGGGAGTGATCAGAGCTAGAGGATGCAGAACTGAGTCAGTAATTGTTTTTTAGGATTTTATATATTTTTAGAAAGAGGGGAAGGGAGGAGGGAGAGAAACATCAATATGTGGTTGCCTCTCATGTGCTCCCTGCTGGGGACCTGGTCCATAACCCAGGCATGTGCCCTGACTGGGAATCAAACAGCGACCCTTTGGTTCACAGACTGGCACTCAGTCCACGGAGCCGAGTCAGGGCTCATGTTGGTGATTTTAAAGATTTCAGACTATGGGCGGTATGGGGGGAATAAATATTGATGGATGGAGAATTGACTTGGGGTGGTGAACACACAGTAATAGAGTATATAGGTGATGTGTTATAGAATTGTGCACCTGGAACTTGTGTTTTATTAACCAGTGTAGCCCTCATGTATTCAATAAGAAGGAAAAAAGATTCCATTAAAAAAAAAGACCTCAGACTTCTAAAGAAGAAAAATGGAGCATTATGAGAGATTCGGACTCTCCAAATTCCAGCTCTGTCACTTAATAGTTTAGTGACCTTGTGCCTCAGTTTCTCTCTCACCCCCAATAAAAGAGGACTGACAACAGGATGACCAATCAATTTGCCTTTTCCAGGGATAGAAGGTGTTCTCTCAAGATTAGAGCGTTTTCTTGACAAAACTGATAAGGGATTCCAGAGCTGGAAACTTTTTAGTTGAAGGTAAATAGTTTAATAAGCCTAGTAGGTAATGTACGTGTTAAAGCTCTTGTTTCAGGAACTGCAGGTAGGGCCCACCACTCCCTACTCCAGGGAGAGACAGCTGATCTCCTAGGACATAACTAAAGACCACTGCTCCTGCTCAGCTGGAGACAACCCACAACTGTGTTCCAGAGAGACACAGCAGACGTTCCTGGGCCTGGAGTGGGGGCCGGGGGTGGGGGAAGGTGGAGTGCGGCAGCAGAAGGGGTGGGGACAGCTAACCGCCCAGGACAAGAACACTGCAGTTCTTTAATCTAATTTTCCCTGAATTTCAAAACCCCACACTGCGCTTGGTTTTCTGTAATAAAAAGCTGGCTTGAGAGGAAATGTAAGACGGTCCGTTAGGGTACTAACCCGTCATCTTCTCAGATCGCGGGCCATCTGAATAAAACGCCCATAAAGATTCAAACCCTGTCTCTAGTTATCGGGTCTGGTATGTTGACAGGCAGCAGAAACGCCAGCTTTTCCAGTCTCGAATCCAGGAATGTCCTGGGAGAATGGGGTCACCCTAGATTAAAATATCACGGTCCTGTCTTGGAAAGGTCTGAGTGTTACAGAAAACAATACCAGCAAAGACCTGAAAACACACTCGAGTTTTAGAGGTGCTTTATGACCTTTCTGTGCGTTGCCCTTAGCTTCTGAAGCTCTGTGTCTTTCCCGGACTCAGTTCCTTATTTGCATAGGAGTTCCTTATTTGCATAGGAGTTCCTTATTTGCACAGGAGTTCCTAATTTGCATAGGAGTTCCTTATTTGCAAAGGTGTTCCTTATTCGCATAGGAGTTTCTTATTTGCTCCACCCAGTAAGCCGAGGGCTTTCACCTCCTCCACCTCCGCTCTAGGGTGAGAGCATTACGTTTAAGGTCACTAAATCCAATCGTGGCTCTATCGATTCCATGCATCTTTGGCTTTCTAGCCGTTTCACGTGGGGAATAAGGAGCACATTTTGCTTTTTATCAAGTTCAGAGGCCTTCCAAGGAGGGACCTTTAGTTGTCAGAGGGCGGGTGTTCATGGGTGAGGTCCTGGATTCTTCGAGGGACAGACTTAGGGAGTGCTGAATGGTGTGGCTCATGAGGAGAAAGATTTGGGGGCTCCCCAGGCAGTGTGAGAGGAAGGAACGGAGACCAAGAGCGGGCTGAGCTGCGAAGATGGAGAAATCCATCCTCTCAACCACTACTCTGGACGCTCCATCTTCATCCAGACTGGTCAATTGTAAAGATAAGCCGATTTCTCGTGGAAACCAGTGAAGGACAGGGATGCTTCCAGGTTGACAAGGTGGAGAGAACTTAGAAATTGTTGTCTTAGAAGTAGCAGGAACCATAAAGGGGGCTTTGGACTCCAGAATCTGTGGGATTGCGGTGGGGGAAATTGAACCAATTTTAACCAGCTTCCTACTACTTGAGTTTTTTTTAAAATATATATATTATCTTAATGTCATAATCACCCATACAATGCATGTTGTTAGCCCTATTTTAAGGGGGTGGAGCTGGGAAACAGACTTGCCCTTGGTCCCATGGGCTGGTAAAAAAGTAGAACTGGGTTGAAACTCCAGGTTGTAAACTCCTTTTACAATTCTCATTCTACCAGAGAGAGTGTCTCCAAGTGATGCTAGCTGCTCTGTGACACCTGTCCATTGCTCTGGAATCATCCTTTCCATCAAAGAGAGAGAACAGCTTCCAGAAGCAGGACCTCAGCAGGAAACAGTATTAGGTTATAATTTAGTAGTGATTTACTTACATTATAGTGGTTTTCACAGTTGCCTTCTATTTATAGCAAACAACACCGGCTTTCCACTGACTCAGGTGGCACAGTTTCCTTTTCAAGCTTATCTAAGTAAAAACTGAGTCCATTTAAAGAAAAACAGGGCCCTGGCTGGTGTGGCTCATTTGGTTGGAGCATCTGTCCTGTAACCAAAAACTGTGGGTTCGATCCCCAATCAGGGCACATACAATCCCCAGTCTGGGTGAATAGGGAGGCAACCAATCATGCTTCTCTCTCACACTGATATTTCTCTCCTTCTAAAAAAAAAAAAAAAGCAATGAAAAAAAGTCCTCGAGTGAGGATAAAAAATACTTATATAAAGGGTAGGACTGGTACTACATAGATGGGCAGGAATACTTATTGGGGTTCACTCTATCTTTGAAAAATGAGGACCCACTTTTTCCAGCCATCTGAGCATCAAAAATAAAGAGGTTAGTTAATACCCTATGCTCACGGGAGTGTAAATTTGTTAGACTTCTGTCCAAATTTAAAATGCCTGTGCCTTTGACCCAGCAACCTTCCTTCTGGAAATTTATCTTCCAGCTACGTTTATGCAAAGACAAGGAAAGCAAAGATGAGGAAAGCAAGATGTGTAAGGATGTTGGTTGTGGCATAGTTTGCAATGGCATAAAAATGAACAGAAATCAAAGTATATTCCAGAAAAAGAAGAAAATGTTTATGAATAGAAGACATTAACTTATATGACTACAAATGAAATACTGTATCAGACTATGAGATGCACCTTCCACCCACCCGCCCAAATTTGGGAGGAATAATGATTGTTAATGCTGCTGTTGAGTTGTTTACATTTACATTGGTAAAATATTATGTTATTTATGTTATTAAATATTTTACCAGATTTTTTGCTTCAACATTTTTTTTCTATTTTCCACCTCTAAAACCTAGGTGCGTCTTATGGTCTGAAAAATACAGTATTACTCAGGTATTTCAAAGAAAGAGGTAAAATTCTATTGCTGCTAATATGCATAACATTTTTAACTAAAAAGTTGAGGATACACATATATAGGTATGACTATTTCTTGTAAAAATGCACAAGACCTCTCTGGATAGCTCAGTTGGTTAGAGAGTCATCCCAATACACTAGTGTTGTGGGTTCAATCCCTGGTCAGGGCACATACAAGTATCAACCAATGAATGCATAAATGACATAAATGAGAGGAAAAACAAATTTATCCCCCTCATCAATAGATAAATGTTTAAAAATTAAAAAAATAATGCAAAAGAGATGGTAATAGTGGCTGTTTCCAGACAGTAGAACTGGCATGGGATGAAGAAGATTTAGACTTTCATTTTATGTTCCCTCAACTTTTTTCATGTGTATGTACTACTTTTAGAACTTAAAAAATTGCAACATAATAAGTAGGCAAAATTCAAAACATCTTAAAAAAAAAAAACCAACCCTTGTTGGTGTGGCTCAGTGGATTGAGTGCCCACCTGAGAACTAAAGGGTTGCTGGCTCGATTCCCAGTCAGGACACATGCCTGGATTGCGGGCCGTGTCCCCAGTGGGGAGTTCGTGAGAGGCAACCACACATTAATGTTTCTCTTCCTCTCTCCCTTCCCCTCTATCTAAAAATAAATAAATAAATCTTTTTTAAAAAGTAAGTAGGTAAAATGCTAGCTCTAATGCTATACACTAACAAAGATTTCCATTAGCTCAAAACTCAGAGTCACAAAATGTGATTGGATACTATCTGAATGATTCTCCCAAAATAATTCAACAAAATAATAATTATTTTAAATAAACAAAGATAAAGATAACTAACTCCATGAGTCCATATTCCTTTCAAGACAGGAGGGAAGAAACACCAGAAAAAAAAAAGTCCTCACACTTACCATCCACTGATAACCTGCTCATCATACCTAAGGAAGAAGACATACCAGTGATGTGTTAGTGCATCAAAAAGAAATATTCCTAGTCAATAAATTCCCCCAGATCCTCAGACATCAGAAACTCTCTTCTTTGGGAAGATGGCTATGATGCCTAAGGAATATTTTAGGGTGCCCTCAATGTTCCCACTGTCCCTCTGCCTATTCTTATCACCACTAGAAGGCACCATTTGTCTCTAGTTGAATTTAATGTGTTTATTTTCTTCTGTTCTCCACCAGTCTCCAAATTCCTAAATGGCAAGCCTATCTGATCCATCTCTGGGTTTCCATCCCCCAAACATGGATCCCCATCCCCCAAACATGAGTCCAGGCATATATTAGATGCTCAGGAGTTCTTGTTCAAGGTTTCATAGCAATGTTTACAGTCCAGGGGCAGCATGAATGTGGCAAGATATTTACCTAGGATTCCTGATAGCAGTCCATCCAGAAGAGTCAGTATAGAGTTCAAGGTCATGGACATGGTACAGAGTGGTGGGATGAAGCCATAAGTAGAAAACCAAAAACAAGATCAGATGCCAGGTACTGGGAACAGGTTGCAAAATAGAGTCCACAATAGGTCATTGTTTTTGAGAGTCTCTGCATTTTATTTCGTGTTGGGAACCGCCCTGACTGGTATCAGAGGCTGAAACCCCCGCCTAGGCTAAAGCTAAGGGAACGCCCTTGGAACTGTAAGCCAGCAAGGAGACAAAAGCTTGTCTTCCTGGCAGGAATGCTGCTTCTGCTGCTTTATTCATAAATGAACCCCAAAAAGCTTGGTCGGTTAGCCAAAGACGGGTAAGATTCCCCACGGGGGGAACGACCTAAGCCAGGCATGATCACTTTGGGAGGTCCCCCAAAAGAAGGAGTTGGGGGGCTGCAGCAAAAGGGGGTGATGGACCCTCGCTCCTCGGCTTTGACATAGCCTGAGTTCTCAGCGTCTGGGAGAAAATCTCCTTATCTCTTGGTTACCTAGTTCCCTTGCTCCACCTAAGCCTGAAACAATGACAGGGTGGTGCAGCTCGGTACTGAGAAGTGCGGATTCCCCAGGGTGATCAGGCCTAAGAAAGAATATGTAAATTACTGTGAAACCTTCTTTGTTTAGAATGCTCTCAGTTGAATGAGAAGGGTCTTAGGAGGAAGTTAGTTTGTTCCTCAGTCTTACAGCTCTTTGACCCCCAACTCAATAGACCGGCAGAGTTCTTTGTTTTCTATAGTTCCTTACTTCCCCCTAATGAATACTGTACTTTACCTGAATTATTATGCAGAATGAGCCTAATAAAAGCAGGTATGGACGGTAAATCAGCGCGCTCCTCACTAGAAGGGGTGGCCATTTCGTCCCTACTTCTCCACAGAAACTAGTTTGTCTCTGTGTCTGTGCATGTTTTTTCTCGCGTGTTTATCGTCGAGCCTTCCACAGCGTTCCGTGGTCACTGCTGGCCGGTGACCCACGCGCAACAATTTCGGAGAGAGCTTAAGTGGGAAATGGTCAGGAGCCATTCTTCAGACATGTTCAGAAGAGAGGGATAAAGTCCTGTGTTTTGCTGTGTATAATGCGCCTCCTTATTTTCCCCTCAAAAATTTGGGCAAAAAATGTGTGCATTATACATGGCAAAATATGGGTACCCTTCCCTGACTCTAGAAAAAGGTGTCAAACTTTACTTCTTTCTCTCAGATCAGAGAATGGTCCCCATGTTGCCTATGAGGATAGTGGAAGCCTTGTGAAATTACGTAATTTGCAAAAACACACAGATGTCGAGTGAAAGTACAAGAATTCAAATCAGATTTCTCTGACTCCCTCTACAAACTTTCAATGTCCCCATCCACAAAATGAGACTATTATTACCCATTATGAGGCTGGGGTGGGGCTGCGTGCATACTGAGGAACTGTACTAAATTTATTAGTGGAAACTTCTGTGTGTATGCAGCTCACAAGAGCATCCTCCATATCACTTCAAATCATCAGGTAAGCAAATGCCTAATGTCAGAACTGTAAGTGTTTGGAAATAAATGGTTTCAATTGAAGCTATATATTTTACTCAACTGGGTAATCTTAGGCTGGTCACTGAACTCTCCATCCCTCTAAAATGGGGACATTATCTTCCATTTGGGACTGTGCCAATCATGAAGGAAGGTAATTCCTGGCTCAAGGTAAACATTCAGTCACTGTTCGAAATAGTAACATGATGCAAATAACAATCAGAGTAATAATAATAATAATAATAATAATAATAATAGCACTCTTAAGTAGTGTGGATTGTAGCATGTATGTAGGGGGTAGGATAGAAGCAGGAAGAACTACTGAAAACTGGTTTTCTTAGGTTGAGTTGAAGAGGATTTCACATCTGTGGTTGCATTTAACCATATGCAGGAGTCACAGAGAGGTGAAGTGACTTCTTCAAGGTTGTCCAGCTAAGAAGGGGCAAACTTGGGCTCTGTCAACAGAGGTGCTGAGCCCTTTCTACCAGATATTATCTCACTTCTTCACACTTAGGCCCCTTTCTCCCCAACTTGCAAACCCAATCACAAAGCTGTGGTTTCATTTCCATTCAACTGGTTCCTAGGGAAGAAAGACCCAATGAAGGTCATCAGAAAGTTCTCCCGTTGGACAAGGACAGTCATTGCAGAAAGGGAGAGAGATGGACCAAGGCTCACCTTTCAGCACTGTTGATGCGCAAGCAGCAGGGCAGAGTTGACCGATGGTGGCCAGTGGGGATCATTTTCCCAGTAAAGTTTCAGAGAAAACATAAAATGAGTTAAGTCACCCTTGACCTTACTGCACCCCATGGACCCCAAGATAGGACAGGGGACCAGAAAGAGAAGCTGTGAGACCCATTCTATGATCCCTGGACCCCTCTGGAGACACATTTAGCCCAGGAGTCAAGAAACTCCAGGGATACCAGTTGCCTGCAGCATCCAAATCTTCTTCCCTCCCCCTGAGTTTTGGGAAATTGGCAGGAGGATCTCCATAACAACCAATCACCATCTCCCTTTCTCAGCCAGACACCAGGATGGTTAATACTTGCAAAGGAGGGAGGTTGACCCACTCTGCACCACAATTTCTCATCAAAAATCCACCCATGAATATACACAATCCAGTTGTACATTTTAGAGCAGACAGTCACTCATACTACTGAACATCTGGTCAAAGCAATGCAATCCGTATTCCCAGAAAACTACTCAGTTTCCCTCTCTCACACCCAACTTTACACACAGGTACAGAGACTTGTTGACCTCCCTGAAGTCCATCTAGTTTCTGTCCTGCTCCCACCCCTGGAGATCTGCAGATTCTGACTCCAGAACCCATATAAGATTGAGAGCATGTCTCTGCATCTGCCCAGGCTGAACGTGGTGGTCAGCAGTTTTGCCTCTCCCTTTTGCTCCTTCCTTTTCTGGTTGGAAAGGCTCCCTATTCGTGTAGTGAGAAGGACTCACGACTTACATTTTACTGGAAGGGACAACAGAGCCAGGAGTCAGAGAATGCACATGGAAAATAAAAGCAACAGGGAGAGTAGGATGAATACTAATGCTATCCACCTCAGTTAACTTCCATGCACATTTTTTATTCCTTCATTTATCTCCTTTTGGTTGTATGGGGAGGGATTTCACGGGGAGGCCATTTTCATGTACTTATCACAACATAAAACTATGAGCCATGTCCTGCCACCAAGACAAAGTCTGTGAACTTGATCTAGGTCCCATTTTCCCCAGAATTCCCTGAGGGGTCTTCATAGCTGAAGGAATTTGAAAGGAGCTACCTACTAGCATGCAAATGTGGGGTTTCCACAGTTCTTACTTTTTTCTTTGATTGCGACTGGAAGGAAAAAAGCATTGGCCATCGGGATCCCAACAGGAGCAGGAAGCAGGAAGCAGAGAGAGAATTCAGAATTAGACTCAAATCACTGCAATGACCAGGGAGACCAGAGCTGGATGTCCAGATAACCACTCAATCACTGGAGACCAGATAACCCACCCCCTGTTTGTATCAATGAAGCCACTTGGGTTTATCCTATTATCCATACATTCATTTATCCATTTTCCATCCATCCACCCATCCATTATCATTTATCCATCCACCAATCATTCATCCTTCTTCCATCCATCGTCTATCATTTTTATTTATTTATTTTTAGAGAGAGGGGAAGGGAAGGAGAAAGAGGAGAGAAACATCAATTTTTGGTTGCCTCCCCTGTGCTCCATACTGGGGACCTAGCCAACTAGCTAGGCATGTGCCCTGACTGGGAATCTGAACTGGTGACCCTTTGGTTCCCAGACCAGTGCTCAATCCACTGAGCCACACCAGCCAGGGCCATCATTCATCATTTATGCGCCCATCTATCATCCATTCATCACTCATTCATCCGTTCATCACCCATCCATTCATCTATCCATCATCCCTCCTCCATCCAGCCATTCATTATTCCTTCTATCCATCAATCATCCATCCATCAATCATCCATCCATCAATCATCCACCACTCATTATCTATCAATAGTCCATCCATTTATCCATCCATTTATCAATCCATCATTCATCCATCCTCCATCCATGCATCCATCTATCCATCGATCATTCATCCATCCATCCCTTATCCACCCAACCAGCATTTATTTGGTACATACTCTGGCCATTGGTGTATGCTTTGTGCTGGGGATGCAAAGAATTAAACTCATCCCCTGCTCTGTAGGCATTTGTGAGACTGGTTGGGGAAAGAGATCCTGGTATAGGAAGGAGTAATTAAGACATCTCAAGCTCTGCTCTCCTGGAATCTGTGACCTATGGATGCCTTGAACATTGTCTTTGCTATGGACAATGGCCCAGAGTAGAGGACCCTACTCTGGGTCCTGCTTAATTTGTTTTCACCTGAAGACTAATTGCTTAACTAAACACATACACACACATCCCTAAACATCACATTCCCTTTCCGAAAACCCTATAATAGCATCATACAATATCCACATCCTAAATACAACCCTCAAAACCCCTGTGAGTTCTGGCTCCTACCTCCTCTCTGTTCTTCCTTGTAAAATCTTCACCCACCAGGCCCCTCATCCCATACACCACACCCCAGACACCTGCCTTCTCTCAGACCCATGGAGGAATCCAGTGCCTTCCTCACCCAGGACCTTGCACCCAGAACCATCTCCCCTCACTCCACCTCACTTGCTCCTACATAGTCCAGGTCTCGCCTCAAATGCAGAGACACCTTCTCTGAATCACCACACTAGGATGTGTCTATTTGTGTAACTTGAGAATTCTATGACAATGGGACTTGTCTGTCTATTTCACCCACTGAATTTGTAGATTACACATATGGGGAAAATAACCTGCCCTGGCTGGTGTGGCTCAGTGGATTGAGCGCTTGCCTGTGAACCAAAGGGTCGCTGGTTCAATTCCCAGTCAGGGCACATGCCTGGGTTGTAGGCCAGGTTCCCAGTAGGGGGCATGTGAGAGGCAACCACATATTGATGTTTCTCTCCTTCTCTCTCTCCTTTCCCCTCTTTCTAAAAATAACTAAATAAATAATCTTAAAAACAAACAAA